TATATTACTTTTCAAAAAGAATAGTAAATTAATTAGAAATATAATTAAAAAATAATTATAAAAAATATCAAATACTTTGTAGTATATTTTGGATCAAATATTAAAAGATGTCACGTATTATAATCAGGATGTGGGCTGTGGAGGAAGTATTACTATAAATGGGGCAAAAATCAGAGTGGTTATTAAATCAATTAACACATTAGTTTAAGGATTAATAATTAAAACAGTAATCAAATCATAATCAAACTAATTATAAATAAATTATTTTATTAAATTAGTTAAGATATTAATTTAATAATTTATTAGTCCAAACATGTTGACTCGTATTTTTATATTTTAATTGTTATATTATAACATGACCTCTCCTCTTCCCTCACAAATCCCCACAAAGTTCTCTCCCTCGTTTTTAAAAAGCTCGCTTGTGGGCCCCATGGGGCCATGCCATCCCACTCTTCCCCACGCCTATGATCTTTGTTACCCTAGCTTTGACATCTTTCTCTCTTTTTTTTCCAATTTGATTAGACACCATATTTTTACAATTTTAAAAGTATTCTAAAACAAACTTATTATTTTTAATACCTACTGTTCCATTTTTAAATATAAACAATATTTTTATTTTTTATTAAGTTAAATTATGCATTATTCTTGTGAACTTTAAATTATATACACATACTTTTTTTAATATTTAAAATTTTATAATAAACCCTCCTCAATTCATATATTTATGTAGATAATTTTATATGATTAATTTTATATATTAAGTATCTACACATAATTTAAAATTTAAGAAGGTTATCCACATATCATTAAAGTTTAGGGCTTAAACGCATGTGAAAACAAAGTTTAAGAGGTATTGATAGATTGGGTTTGTGCAAATAACCCTTTTTATTGGTATCTACCTTCATAAATTTTTTTGTTCTGCACCCAATGAGTTGAAATTGAATTATAAATTATATAGACTAATAGATTAAATGGTTGAAATTTACTTCTTTTATTTAAAAAATGTAATGTATTTTTAATCAAATCTCATCCCCAATAAAATAATTACTTACTTTTAAAATAATTCTATCTTTTTATATTTATCCTTATTAAATACCCTACAATAAATATAAAATCATTCATTAATAGAGATACTTTTAAAAAAAGACAATGATTACATCTCAAAAAGATAAAAATGTCTTATATTTTTAAACATTAAACTTCTAAAAAAATGTCTTATATTTTTTAATGAAGTGAATAAAAGATTGAATTATATCAAATTAAAATTTAGGAGCTGAATTGTAATCAATTCAAAATTAACTAAAGTAATTATTTTTTTACTAAATTTTATTATACGTGGATAAATAACTGTTGATAGAGGAATTACACATTTTTCTAAAAAAGAAATAATTAAATTTCAATTTTTTAAGAAAAAATTGTTATTCCTTTCTAACACCATCATATATCAATCTTATGGTTAGTATTAACTCAATTGAAACGATCCAAATCCAGAGCTCATTTCACAATCATTTCTAAGTAGCTCACCATATATTTTATTTATTGTCCTTAAAATTATTTCAGTTTTCATTATTGTTCAATTTAATAATCTTGTGAGATCATCCTCAAAATTAATTATAATTTTGTTTTTTCGCCAAAAAAATTATAATTTTGTTGGCCTAAAATTTATAATCATATTTTTAATGACTTGTTTGTTTATTCATCCAAAAAGCATACTAGCATGAAGATTTTTTTTAAAAAAATAAAATATAGATAAAGTGAGTGTATTTAAAAAAACATAATTTAATAAAACTTAATTAAAAATAAACATATTTTTTTAAAAAAATCAATTATTATTCTTTTCCGCTGGGCATTGGTACTTGATTATGCTTAATTAAAGCAATAAAGCATGGCTGATTAATGACCCTTCAGGGGCTGTATTAGTCTCATTTTATGAGATTCATTCATAAATGATTTCCATCAAATTTTTAAAAGACATCATTGCTGTCACATCAACATCTTAGGGATGCACATTTTTTTCTATTCAAAGATTTTTTTTTTGGAGGATATGTTGATTTACAAGAATTCATATTTATTTTATTTTCTTAAATCAGGGGAAATTTAATTCGTTTAATAATTAATTAATTTTTACGTGATTTACAAGAAGATTTTTATAAATTTTATATTTAATTTTGATTATATCAATTAGTGTTAATATTTATAATAACTTAGATGTTTTATTTTGAATTGTCTCACGCATTAATTAATGCATGGAAATTTATATAATACTAAGTGACATTCAAAAAAATTAAAAAAATAATAAATGTTGATTCAATTAATAAGATTTAACTCAATTCACAAAATCAAGAGATCAAATTTTACTATTAATATAAAAACTTGTAAATATTTTTACAAGTATTCTTTAAGATTGAAGGCATGCACTGATCTTGATAAGCTCTTAAAATTTAATTTACTTAAATTTTAATTTATATATTTTTTGGCAAATGTAATTTTAAATTCGATACCTAATAAAGAGTTTTTGTCTAAAAAATTTTATAAAATCTTTCTAATATATCTATACAAGCTCATACAAGTCTTAGTATCTGGCAAAAAAAAAAAAAAATACAAGTTTAAGCATTTATATATAATAAGGAGTATACTATGTCTCTAAATTTTACTATTAACAATGTGTTAATGTATATGGACAGTTCAACTTGTATGGGTTCTGAACATGTGTTTATTATACTTTTACTATTTTTATTTTTATATATTCATTCTTCTTTTTTACTTTTTAAATTTTTCATCTGAAATTTTGTTTAATCAACATATTATTCAATAAAAAGTTTCTATTTGAATCCTCATGCTGTATAAAAAAAAATCTATTTATATACTTTCTATTCCATACATTACACAAAAAGCAGAATCTATTTTGAGATTGACAGCAATTTTGGTTACGAAAATAATTATAATTTTAAAAATTTAAAAAAAATTATAATCCTATTAAATTCCTTTAAATGAACTTCCAATAATTTGATTTTAATGGAGTATAAATCTTGAAAACTCTCACACAAATTTTAATTTAGAGTAAATTATACTCCAAAATAAAAATATAAATTGTTAAAAATATTTATCATTTAATATATTAAAAAAAGAATATATAAAAATTAATTATAAAGAGAGAAGAGTAAATTTAAAATTAATGTATTTAATAAAATCTTTATATATATAAAGTGTCTTATATTTTAAAAATATTTTATAATTTAAAAATAATGTTAATAAAAATAATATATTCAAAAATTATAAATATAAGTGCCGTCAGCATAATTTATAAAAATATCGGGATGATAAAAAGAGAGCAATGTGAACTCCAAAGAAGGCTAAACAATTTTCAAAATTATTTATTAATATTTTGATGCTCACTTTTTATTTTACCAAAACAAAAAGAAAAAAAAATCAAAGTTCAAATTATCGCCGCCAAACCAAAAACACTTTATATATTAATATTGACATGCTTCGGTGAGTGTACTGATTCTTTGTGTCTCAGTCGAAACCTTTCGCAGTCGTAGACAACCATCACCAAAACATGGGTCCCACAAAACTTTGTCTGCTTTTCGCGCGTGTCTAGCAATCCCTCGATCAGCGCGTGCTCAACCTCAAAATCATGCGTTCCATTACTATTTTGCATTTCCGCCGTTCTACTCTCCTTTCAAAAAAATAAAGACAAATATACCTAATTCTATTTATTTCTATTTAATTCCATTATTATCATCACCTACTCTTTCCCTTGACCACTCTTTCAATAATATATTTCTTCAATAAATATTTACATATGTGGACAAAAATAATATACAACACAAATAATTTAAAAAATTAATTCGTTATTAATGTAGAAAATTTATGTCTAAAAATTGTGATTAAATCCAAAATTCCACCATTTGAATATTTAATCGATCAAAAATAAAATTGACTTTAAGTTTAAAAGCTAAAAGTTTTTATTAAATTTTACTTTATTTATTTTAACTTTATAAATTATTGAGAAAATTATATTTACTTCCCTTAAAAAAGATTTTACTGCCAAGAAATTCCATAAAACACACGAGATACACCAAAATCATGTACATTTATAATCTGTTATTACAAATTATTATTTTTTTACAAGTTATAAATAGTCATTATTTAATTATAAATGTTCTTTTTCAAATTATAAATGTATAGGATTTATAATTTATGAGTATTTTATACTCCCTTCGTTACAAAATATAATGTATTTTTTAAAGAGTTAAATATTTTATCTTTTACATGATAACTTTATATTTATTATAAAGTGTTTAATAAAATAAATATAAAAAAATAAATTTAATTAAAAAGTAAGTAATTATTTTATTAAAACGTGTGATTTAATTAAAAATAATTTATATTTTTAAACGAAAGGAATATATTTTATGAGGACTCTTAATAATTAAATCTTTTCTATAATTCTTCCTAAATTATTTTTTAGAGAATGTTTTATTCTTGCTAAAATTATTTGATTTTGATAACATTATCCCCCTTTGCTTATCGCCTGACGTTAACTGTGGCTTGTAAAAACACTTACATTATCAATTATATTAGAATATACACTATTTTTCAATATTATTTTACTAAATATTCTCATCACATAATTCTCTCTAATTATGTACTTATTGAAGGCTAGTAAACCAATTTCTTTAGAATTTAGATAACCAAAATATTAAAATAAACTGTCATTAACTTAAATAAATAAATGCATACATTGCTTCAATATTTAATTTAATTTATTTTTTATATATCAACCCTTGGAATTGGAATTAAGTATTAACAAATCAATAAAACCAAAAAACGAAAAACTTATATAGCTATATTTATATCAAAGAAATTAAAATTACATTATTTGCATTAATTAACAAACATGACTGCCTTAACGAAACCATGTTCATGCCTTAACATACTTCCCAGGAAAAAGCACACATACAAAATTAACCCAAGAAATTCAAAAAACAAAAAAACAAAAAACAAGCGCTCATGTTCTTCATATATTCTCACTCTCACAGACTCCATCGCTCACTGATCAAGCGCATTAGGGCCAGTACAGTAATTCAATATATGGTTCCATATCCACTGAACCAAGAATCGCCGTCTGATCCCATTCATGTTATACGTGGCACCATCCTGTGCGTCCATTACCTGCCCCGTGTACGACCCTCCTCCTCCGGTACCGTATATCCCCTCACACAGATCGGCGATCTCCACCGGAAAACTCGGGTCCTGACCCGCATACCAGGCATTCGCCAACGGGTTCGTCGCCAGCTCCGCCAGCTCGTGTCCTATCACGCTTATCATTCCATCGACTCCCACATCGCCATTCGGAGACTTAAACGGCTTCCGATTTGGGATAAACGCCGGCACGGCGAACGGGTATGCGCATTGACCCGGACAGAGCTTGGCGGAGTTTCCGACCCAGGCGTAGGGAAGTGTGTAGCCGACGAGAGAAGGGAAGGTGAAATAGTGGAACCCACAGACTGATGTGCAGAAATCTTGAACGTACACGTCCTCGGAAGTGAGCAAGAGGTAGAGTCCGCTTCTAGGGTTGATCGGTAAGGGTTTGGTTCTAGCGGTTATGGCGGATTTGATCACAGACTGGATTGACAGGCGCGTGAGGGATTTTCCATGGGAGTAGAACCGGTCGTTCTTCTCCTCGCCAAGCCGTACGGTTTTGGAAATGTTGGAGCCGGTTTGGTCAGTGTAGAGCTGTACGGTCCGCCACCATCCGGCGACGGAGGGGCGTTTTGATTGTACAGCGGAGATTGAGTTAATAAACTCGCGGATGATCTTCTTCTGGTTCCGCTCCCACCGGCCGTACCAGATGGTATGGACGGTGATGTTGGTAGTGAGAACCGGTCCCATGTGGTACTTAAGCTTGACGAACTCCGATGAGCCTTCGTACTTCTTGGAGTCACCATAGGTGTAGTCGGAGAGGTTAAATCTGTTGTTGCCGGAGGGAGACCAGGGCCTCCATCCGTCGACAAGTGTGGTGGTGGTGAGGGTGAGAAGGAGGACGAAGGAGAGAACCACCGTGGACGGTGGCGCCGGAGAGCGAGGGAGGGAGGAGGATTGGCACATTTCGGGACTGAAGGGGGAAGAGATATAGAGAGGCTATGGAGTGGGAAGTGAGAAGAGCTGAGTGAGCTCTCAACGATGAAGGCGAAGAGTGAGGGAAGAGGATATCCCTTTTATATTCAAGACAGAAAAAATTTCCCTGTTTCCAATTTTTTGAATTTTCAAAAAAGCATACACCGGTCAGTCAGGCTCAAAACATAACTACAGTATAATTATCATACATTTAAAAAAACTATTTTTGCCCTATAAATAATTGATTTAATTGTAAAAAAGTCCTGTATGGCTGCCAGGAGTTGTTTTTTTTTTTTTTTAAAGCATGCTAGACGGATAGCAAATAATATAAGTAAATTTTTCTGCACTAAATTATACACCAAGTTTTTATATTCATGTGAACTTTAATTGATAGTTATTGGGAGTTTTTTATTACTTCCTTCTTCTTATTTTATATAAATAATTTTAAATATTATTTTTTATTTTAAAATACAATATATTTTGAAAGAAATAAGATTTTATTAATAATAATTATTTTAACATTGCCTCTCATTAGTTTACTCTTTAAATAAATTTTTCTCTTTTTTTTATTATTAATGAAAAGTGTTTCTAAAAATTAAAAAAAAATTAAGATTATAAAATATATTTAATAAAATATCATTAATGCGTGTAATTTTTTTTAAAAAATATCTTACAAATTGAGAGTAATTGAGTATTAATGAGTACACAAAAGACAAAACTTAGATTATTAATATTATATACTTAATATATTTTTATATAATTAAATTTGAATCAATAATTTCAAATTACATACATATAATTTGATAAAAGTGTAAATAAAAAATATAATTTGATAAAAATTAATTGATAACTGATAAATTAATTTCATTTTCATCAATAATTGATAATCATCAATAATCCATAACAATAGAAAATTAATACTTTGGAATAATAATAATAATAATAATATATAATACAAACACATATTATTTATAAGTCATGAATAACATGACTCATATGTAAGAATTCATGTAATTTATGAATAAATGCATCTGGTTATGGATACATTATTGAAAGGAGAAGATGGCTATGAACAACTAATTAAATTATAGTTGCTAGTAATTTGATACGTGAGTTCTCCCATTAGTTTTTGTATCAACATCCCATTATAACTTTTTTAAAAAAAAAATTATCCCAAAGCCTAGTGCTCAATAAATATGTTGGCTCGAAAAAGATTATTACAAACAATAGGTGGAGGATAATATACATCTACTTATGAATGTCAATGTAATGAGCACCAGCAATTTAATTACTCTTTTTGTTTAAAAATATAAGGTATTTTTAATCAATCTCACCTCTCAATAAAGTAGTTATTTAATTTTTAACTAATTCTATCTTTTCATATTTATTTCTATTAAACACCCTACAATAAATATAAAGTCATTATTAATAGGGGCACTTTTTAAAAAAAAAATAATAATTATATCTCAAAAGATTAAAAATACTTTATATTTTTTAACATTTAACTCTTTAAAAAATATTTTATATTTTTAAGTGAATGAAATATTTATTTTGAATGTGTGGTTAAAGTCGAGGAACCAATCACACATCATGAGACAGCTAATTTGTTGGTTTAAATAAAAAAAAAAAAAAAAGCTAGTTCAGTTCGGGAGGATTACAATGCAGCACCCAAGCCAACATATTTACGTTAAATGTCCAATAAAATCTGAAATAATTATACAAGCTTAGAGACATATCTTACAATTAAGTTTTGGTGAAAATATAGAATCAGTTTTTTGTAAAATATATAATAACACATCTATAAATAACATTTAAAGTTTATTTTTTAACAAATAATACATATGTTTATTTTATATAGTTCACATGATTCATACTTGTTAAAGAGTATGAAATAATTTTTAACCTTATACATTTAATTGATAAATTTTGTAAATAACATTCAAAATTTATTTATTAATCAATAAAATGTTTATTCATTTCACATATCTCACGTGGTTTGAATAACATTTAAAGTCTATTTATTTACAACAAAACATACATGAATCAAGAGGATGTATGTAAATAACAATTAAAGTTTATTTATTTTTAATAAAAGGTTCATTTATTTCACAAAAGGACAACACTGTCTTTTCATTCAAAAAAACTTCATTGTAAGAGAGGCCTTCGGCTTGTAGAATTATTTTAGATTCTCTCTTTTTTTGTGAATGAATTAATTTAAATTCTATTGAACCTTTAATACATATATGTTAGTTATGGGGCTTTCAGTGCAATTCTCGCATTTAGTTAATGGTATAAAACATTATAAAATGGTCAGATGGTGAGATGGGAAGTCGAGCTCCTTTCATTAGTATTATAAAAAACTTTCAACTAAATTACACTTCAAATAAATTAATTAATTATTTTTAAATTTACATACAATTTTTACATTTGTTCTTAATCAATAGGATATTTTAATTAAAAAAATCTTATCATCTAATCCTTTAATTAATGGCATTTTTGAAAAAAAAAATTATTAATAATATATTGAAAGGCCCAAAATGTATTAATTCATCATATATTGAAAAACCTTGTTTAAATGTAATTTTTTTTAAGAGAAAGGTTTCACCTAATTTTCTTAAGAACCATAAAATTATTACTAACGTCTTATATTATAATTTAAAAGGAGTATATTTTTAAACATAACACTTAAAAAAAATATATCATATAATATTGAACTGAGAGAGTGTGAAATAAATATGAAGGGCCCGGTCAAATTACTTTAAACATGGGCTTTTTTGTAATTTTAAACCAAAAAAAAGTATTAATCCATCTAATACATTCGTGAGTTTGAGAGCTTAGTACCTCATTTTATTTTTTTCCCTAATTGGATCATTTTAACTTTTTCGAAAGCACAAGATTTCACGAAATTTCTTTGATATTGATAACATTAACGTATGTGAGTCACAAGTGAATTCATATCACGACAAAAATTTTAAAATAATGTTATCATGTTAAAATCCAAAATACTATTATCTCTGTTAAAAAATATAATATATTTTTAATCGAATCTCATTCTTTAATAAAATAATTAGTTAGTTTCAAACTAACCCTGTTTTTTCATATATATTTCTATTTAATGAGGTGTGATTCATTTAATAAGGGTATTTTTAAAAAAAGTGTGATAATTATATTTCGACAGACTAAAAATATACTACATTTTTTAACATTTAGCCTTTTAAAAAATACCTTATTTTTTTTAAATAAAGGGAGTATATAACAATGTCAACAACTTTAAATTATAACTCTTCATTCATCTTTACTGTTATAATTAACTTGACATTACGTTTAATATAAGAATTAACTTAAAATATGGTAATATTTATTATTCAAATTAAGCTTTCAAATGTAACTTATTTTCATAGGCCATGCACGTGGAGTATATAGTTTCACGATAACTATCTAGAGAACTGAATTCCTGTGGATTAAGATTAAAATGTATATTATGTGAGACATTATGTATATTTATATATGTTTTCAGTTATATGAAGTTAGGAACAGTTACATGAGTCAATGAATATACTTTTTTAAATATTTTTATAAATAAGAAAAATGAAAATAAGTTTTAACATAGTACAAAATTGATCTTTTTCAAAATTATTCTCAATAACGGGCTAGTTTGTTTAAAATTTAATATGCGCATATGTAAAGAATGTTATAAAAAGAAAATTACTTTTAGATATGTTAAGAATTTTATAAAAAAAATTATTTTTTACTATCTACAATAATAAAAAAAGTAATAAATATGTTCATTTTTTATTTTATAATATCTTTTTGGATATTGATCTATAAAAATAATTTATTATTTAGTTATTTCAAAGTTTTACAATACCTTCATGTATTTTTATATTTTTATTCCATGCTCTTTTATTTAGAAAATTAGATTATTTTTAAAAGTTATTTTGGGCAATTTCTCAAATTAATTTGAATCTATTTTTTTTATTTCAGATTTTAATTATTTCAAAAATTTAAATAATTGTCATAATATTTCAGAAAATATTTTTTCAAAAAATAAATAATTTTTTCCATTAAAAATTTTTAAACAAATATGCCTAAATAAGTTCATATTCTTTTTTTTAGGAAAATATAAATTCATAAGTTCATATTTTTTTGATTAATCATAAGTTCATATTCTAATTCAATATATAGTTTAATGGCATAAAACAATTGTATCCTTCAAATGCTAATAGAAAAATAAAAGACCACATGTGTGAATATAGATAATGCTTTTGATGGAGCTATCTCTAATTAGATATGACAATACTTCTAATCAAATATATATTTACATAAAGAAAAATAAAGACTAGAATAATGGCCTGTTCTTTAAAATGATGGTTCAGGGACACTTTTTTTTTTTTTTGGGTGGTAAAATCAGGGGCACTTTATTTTATTCATGAGAGTCTTTAACTTTACCCCTCCAAACTTTACTTTTTCTTTCAAAAGGGAAATAAAAAATGGCGTACCATCATCTTTAGCAATAAATAGTTTCAAAATCATAATCACTATTATATAAAAAAATCCTCAGCAAACAAATTAACAACATATAAAAATTAATTATATGTTGATATTACAGTAAAATGAGTCTAAATTTGTACCAAATATCAATATATATAATATTTATATAGAAGAATAATATTACTTGTGATATCCAAACAATATGATTCATTTAAAAGTTAAAACATTACGATAAGGGTGAAGGTTTATAAATAAAATATACTTTAATTCGATCTTTGGTTCATTATTTTTTTTTTATAGGAACAAAATACCGAATTCGTACGTAGTCCGCAGATACTATGATGTCACAAAATTTAGTTTCAGTTATAACCTTATTACAATTTTGACACCAGTTTTCAAGTACATGATTATTATAAAAAATAAATATAATTGAATTAAGTTAACATATTTTTCGGGCCTGAAAAAGACAATTAACATATGAAAATGATAGTTTTGCTAAAAAAAAAACATATGAAAATGATAGACTATATTACCTGACATTTTCCAATTGTTCATACTCGTCTTAAAAATATTAGTTTTGCAAATTTAATTT